GATTCCCCGCGCCAGGGTTTGAACCCTGACCACGGACCGCAACATGGTGCAGTCAGATGCTCTGCCCACTGAGCTGCGGGGAACTTGTCAACAACGCAGATGGAATTTTAAAGTCCTGTTTTAGGCGTCTTACGCACTGCAAAGATCAAGCTTGGAAACACACGAGCTATTCCATTGCACGAAGAGAATTTTCTTTGCAATGGTTTGCTATTGATCCAAATAATAAGAAGAAACTGTTTCCACTTAGATTTGCAATTTTTATGAAGGTTTACCTATCTTCCTTGATAAGAGAGTCTCAATGGGGTTATTCGATAGTTGTAAAACAGCAAAACGCTATGCGTTAGGCGTAAAAATTAACAAATTTGAACCCTAAGTCTAAAAAAAAATAAACAATATAAAAAAATTATTTAAGATGACCACAAAGAAGAAATATTAACCGTTAGCCGTGAAAAATTTCACCCCATTGAGACCCTCCTATATGAATGAGTAATTTTTGTTCTGATGCATCACATCTTGAGAAAAAGCATGCAATCTACTCGTTGATAAATGATACGTGCATCAGTATGTGAGGACATCAAAGACGGATTATCAGCCGGAAGAAAAATATGATGAGAAAACCGAAAAAGAAACAAAAGTGACAAGATTCCCCGCGCCAGGGTTTAAACCCTGACCACGGACCGCAACATGGTGCGGTCAAATGCTCTACCCACTGAGCTGCGTGGAACTTGTCAAATTCGCAGGCTGAATTTTAAAGTCATGTTTTAGGTGTCCTACGCACTGCAAAGATCAAGCCTTGAAACATATGCGCTATTCCATAGGACGAAAAGAATCTCCTTTGCAATGGTTTGCAATTGATCCAATTAGTAAGAAGAAATCCTCCCCTCTTAGACTTGCTGTTTCTTATAAGAAGCACCTGTCACCTTTTATTCTCTAAAAAAATTTATGTACGAACGCATTACCTCTATTCTACTTCTTGAGCAAGAGCGTACAATCTATTCGATGATAAAAGATATGTGTCTCAGTATATGAAGACATCAAAGATATATTATCGACAAGAAGAAAAATATGATGGAAAACCAAATAAGGAACAAAAATGACAAGATTCCCCGCGCCAGGATTTGAACCCTGACCACGGACTGCAACATGGTGCAGTCAAATGCTCTACCCACTGAGCTGCGGGGAACTTGTCAACATCTCAGGCTCAATTTAAACTCATGTTTTAGGCTTTTTATGCACTGCAAAGATCAAGCCAAGAAATAAAAGCCCCCCTTATATGAATGAGTAATTTTTGTTCCGATGTATCACATCTTAAGCAAAAGCGTGCAATCGTTGGTAAAGGATATGTGCATCAGCACATGAGGACATTGAAAACATTTTATCAGCTAGGAAAAAAATGTGATGAGAAAACCAAATGAAAAAATTCCCCGCGCCAGGGTTTGAACCCTGACTACGGATCGCAACATGGTGGAGTCAGATACTCTACCCACTGAACTGCGGCGAACTTGTCAACAACGCAGTTTGAATTTTAAAGTCATGTTTTAGGTGTCCTATGCACTGCAAAGATCAAGCCTTGAAACATATGCGCTATTCCAGAGAATGAAAAAGATCTCCTTTGCAATGGTTTGCAATTGACTCAGTAGGTAAGAAGAAACTCTTTCCACTTAGATTTGCTGATTTTATGAAGGATTACCTATTTTCCTTTATTAGAGAGTCTAAATAGGGTTAACCGATAGTTGTAAAATGGCTAAAAAGCTAATCTCTAGGTGTAAAAATTGACAAATTGTAAACGTCAGTAGTTAAAAAAAACCTTTAAAAAAAGACATTTCTGGTGACCGCAATGGAAAGTTATTAATCGTCAACTGTAAATTGGCCAAAATTTCAATCGTTAGCTGTAAAAGCCACCATCCCATTGAGACCCTGTCATAGGTATATACCGTAAAATTCCGGTTATAAGCCCCCCCCCCCCTCGGCTCATAAGCCCCCCCTCACGGTTATAGGCCCATCTACTTGGAAACAAAAATATTTATCCGGTTATAATATAACCTCTCCGAATATTAGCCCCCTCTAGTTTTCTTTGTTTTCCTAATATTAAGTCACTCTTGCAGAACCCTGTACTACTTCGAACACAAAATTTGTAGTTGTATACTGAAGGCAAACTGACTGCATCATACAAGTGAGGTCGTCTGACCAAGTGGGAGGGTAGAGCGTGGCGGGAAGTGAGTGAGAACAAAGATGCCATCGTAAGAAGATTCAAGAAATGCGGAATTTCTCTGGATCTCAGTGGATGGGAAAATAATAAAATTAACATCGAAGGGATTCCCGATTACAAGATGCCCTCACTTGATGAATCGAAGTCCTTGAAAATGATGTAGAGTTTCATCTTGAGAGTGATGACTCAGACAAAGACGTTTACGATGATGATGGCGATGAGTCCGTAGCATAAAGTCAGATCACTCGGTAAACTAAGATGATGTCAAATTAACTGAAAGAATTAAATGCAGGAAGCCTCGCCGCCGTGAACTGGACATTATAATTTTTAACTTCCGGTTTGTTGCCTTCCGGTTACGTTCACGTTGTTAATTTTGATTTTGTTCCTAAAATAGAATTACATTCGATATATAATGAGGCTTGAAAGTTTAATCAAAAATTAGTAAAAGTATTTCCATCAACACTGCTGTGGCTCATTTCGAAACGTTTTTTTTTTTATTCCGCCACCGCGGATATAAGCCCCTCCGTTTATAAGCCCACCCAATAAACCCCTTACGAAGTTGTATAAGCCCTGGGCTTGTAACCGAAATTTTACGGTATTTTTGTTCTGATGCATCACATCAACTTCACATCTTGAGCAAAAGCGGGCAATCTATTCGATGATAAATAATATGTGTATCAGTATATGAGTACATTAAAGACGTATTATCGGCTGAGAGAAAAAATATGACGAGAAAACCAAAAATCACAAGATTTCCCGCGCCAGGATTTGAACCCTGACCACGGACCGTTGCGGTGCGGTCAGAAGTTCTACCACTGTGCTGCGGGAACTTGTCAACAACGCAGTCTGAATTTTAAAGCCATGTTTTTACGAAATGTGCTTATTCTATTTGGGTTAAGTTCCAACCCCGTCAATGGACCAAATTCTTTTCTAACCAAGCACTTATTTTGTTGCAATTTGAGATAGAGCTAAGAATAGGAGATAGAGCTAAGAATATGAGTGCTTTTAGTAAAGTTAAATTATTGATAGATCTTTTTCCTCTGACACTTTATCAACATTTTGCAAGCCAAATCAATTAATTTAACATTTTTGTTCTTCTTTTAGAATTTTGGGTCGTAACCCAATGAGATAGAAAAATTAACAGTAATCAGTATAAAGAGTTCAAATATATATATATATATATGACGTCGAGAGCGGGGCACATTTTTAGGAAGTTCTTCTTTCCCCTGGATACAATTTGAAATGAAATAAATTTTATTTATTAGCCGATGAAAATGCTACTTCTCAATTTTAGAGATCCTTGTCGAAAGAAGTCTGGCATAATCCTGAAACTGCGCGACTCATCGTCGGGGCTATAAATTTTGCGAATTTTGCCAAAGAATCTCTACAGAGACGTTCGGAAATTCTTTGGATTCGTCGTTACGCGCTCCATCAGCCATCATTAGTATCACTATAGGAAATTTTCCTCATAAATTATGACCCACCTAATAACGAAAATTTCAACGCCTTATCAACTGCTGTTGACTTAGTTACTCATTAAGATACTCTCCTAAAAGTCAATTAATTGCACCCCAAAAGTACTTAATTCTTATTTTGGGTAAACAAAAACTCAAGGTTAAATTAACACTCGATTTTTAATGGTACAAGAACCTTTTAAGGCACTTTTTTATGAGTGTTTAGTATGACCGTTAATCCGAAAACAGGTGGATAAAGAAAGAAGCCAATGAGAACTGAAAGAATTAAACGTTTCTGGCTAAGAGATGAATTGCCGTTACAATTAAAATTCAGCTGGTACGTGCCCGATTGAATAAACTGTTCTTCCAAATCTGAAGATTTTTAGCAATAGTCCTAGCTGAGAAAATCCGTTTCTATTGACAACGAATAAGGCAGACGTCCTTCATCTGGTATATTTAAGGATATCTTACTTTTTATTACCATTTTTCCGACCAGTATCGGCGATAGAACGGTTAGACTTACTGAGAGCAATGTGTTTATAACAACACAGATAAGACTGGTGTATAGGATACATTTATATACCGATTTGCCTAAGGTAATTTTTCAAAATTTCCTATGTTTTTTTGTTTTCTTGCCCCAAGGCATAAAATATACCTGCTGAGTAGGAATTGATGTCACAGCTTTATTCAAAGCAAACATTTTTCCTTTTGTAAACGAAAACTTATCTCACAAAAATCTTCCCTGTGTTTTTGTCGAATACTGTTAGTATCGTTAAGTTTGAAACCATAGTTTCGATATGATAAAGAAAGTTGCTATTCAGATAAGGATTGTCGAGAAAAAACCTTCCAGAGATGATAAAAATTTTTCTTAATTTATATTGGTGGTGCATTTATCATACAGTTTGTATCTAATTTACATATCGCGGAGGTTTGAATTGCAAAAGAGTTCGAAAGCCTGAAACAATTGACATTTCGTCTGCTCATAATGAGCTTAATCTCTTCCAGTTTTAAGTTTTATATTAAGCAATTTTTCCTGCATGTTGGTGTGCACTGTATAATCTTGTTCTCGTCAGCGGAATATCAGGCAGGGAAATGCTATAGGTCAGGATTTAACTAATTTGTTATCTGTCAATGTCGTTAAAAGGCAATTAGAAAAAGAAAAATTACAGGGATCGAAGGCAAACACAGAGGAAAATATCGTGTAAGTTACTAACTTCATTTTATAAAGTATCACGGTATGAATACACAGAAACCAGTTAGAGAAATTACACGAGCCTATAGAATTTTTCTCCGATTATGTTCTTGTGTTCGTTTTCTAGGTGGTACCGCTCCTTCAAATGGAAAACACGACTAAGGAAAATATAGTCAATATCTCTACCAGCCCTCGATCGAACTTTGACGTCGATCCTTTGCTCGTTGCACAGTTAGTAAGCTTTGCAGTCATCGTTCCTTTAAATGTTTTGGGAAATGTTTTAATTTGCTGGATTGAACTATCAAGGAAAGTAGTCAGAAGCAGCAGCCTTTTCATACTAAATCTTGCCATCAGTGATTTAGCGGTGGGCCTCGTGAGTATTCCACTCGACATCACCGAGATCCTCTCAGACCAGTGGCCCTTCTACGGTTTCGTGTGCAAATTAGTCTACCCTTTCCAAACCGTTCTTATGGCTGTGTCCGTCATCACACTACTTTGTATGGCTATTGAACGTTACAGAGCAGTTGTTACACCTTTTAAGTGTAAGCCAACGAGCCGATTTATCATTAAAGTCATTGTCGTTGCATGGGCAATGAGCTTTCTACTGGTTACCCCGTATACCCTAATTTTGAAAATGAAGAATGGCAAGTGTGTAGAAGATTGGCCAAGTCGAGATCACGTCAGGATCTACACCGTCAGTGTTTTCTCGGTGCTGTACCTTTTACCACTAACCCTCATCACCATCTTCTACACAAGAATTGGTCTGTATGTGCAGATGGAGGCCCAGAGGTGGAAATCAATGGTAAGATATTATGGTACTTCCATACGTCAGGTGCGGGAAATCGCACAATCGCGGCACAGACAGAATACGAAACTTATAGCGGCATTTATAGCTGCAGTGATGGTGTTTGCAGTATGTCAGTTACCCACCCACGTCATTTGGCTGTGGCATGACTTCGACACTAAAAGCGAAGGGGAACACTTAGATGTTGTGATGCCATTCTGCCACATTCTAACATATTTAAATAGCGCCATTGATCCATTTATCTTTGGAAGCCTTAATGCTCAGTTGTTACGAAAGAAAGTAAGATCAATGTTTAACTTTCAATGTTCGAAAAAACACAGCATCAGTTGTCTCGCCTCAGGTAATAGTAAATACAGTAAAGGACGGGAAGAGTCATCATCGAGTGCTGAGACTGAGATGCAAAGACTGGAGAACGACATAAAGGAGACCAACGTTTAGTGTAAGTGGTTAGTAGTTCCCCCTTTTTATGAATACTAATCAATCTTCACTTGTAATCAGCATGTACCTGTTGGCTAAAAGCGGTTGCAGAGGGAAAAAAAACCGCGAAGACGGCAATACTTTTTAAGCTACTTCGGAAT